AGAGGTCACTATTCAGTATTACATTACATTTGATGCTCCTCAGCTCTATCTAGAGGTCACTATTCAGTATTACATTACATTTGATGCTCCTCAGCTCTATCTAGAGGTCACTATTCAGTATTACATTACATTTGATGCTCCTCAGCTCTATCTAGAGGTCACTATTCAGTATTACATTACATTTGATGCTCCTCAGCTCTATCTAGAGGTCACTATTCAGTATTACATTACATTTGATGCTCCTCAGCTCTATCTAGAGGTCACTATTCAGTATTACATTACATTTGATGCTCCTCAGCTCTATCTAGAGGTCACTATTCAGTATTACATTACATTTGATGCTCCTCAGCTCTATCTAGAGGTCACTATTCAGTATTACATTACATTTGATGCTCCTCAGCTCTATCTAGAGGTCACTATTCAGTATTACATTACATTTGATGCTCCTCAGCTCTATCTAGAGGTCACTATTCAGTATTACATTACATTTGATGCTCCTCAGCTCTATCTAGAGGTCACTATTCAGTATTACATTACATTTGATGCTCCTCAGCTCTATCTAGAGGTCACTATTCAGTATTACATTACATTTGATGCTCCTCAGCTCTATCTAGAGGTCACTATTCAGTATTACATTACATTTGATGCTCCTCAGCTCTATCTAGAGGTCACTATTCAGTATTACATTACATTTGATGCTCCTCAGCTCTATCTAGAGGTCACTATTCAGTATTACATTACATTTGATGCTCCTCAGCTCTATCTAGAGGTCACTATTCAGTATTACATTACATTTGATGCTCCTCAGCTCTATCTAGAGGTCACTATTCAGTATTACATTACATTTGATGCTCCTCAGCTCTATCTAGAGGTCACTATTCAGTATTACATTACATTTGATGCTCCTCAGCTCTATCTAGAGGTCACTATTCAGTATTACATTACATTTGATGCTCCTCAGCTCTATCTAGAGGTCACTATTCAGTATTACATTACATTTGATGCTCCTCAGCTCTATCTAGAGGTCACTATTCAGTATTACATTACATTTGATGCTCCTCAGCTCTATCTAGAGGTCACTATTCAGTATTACATTACATTTGATGCTCCTCAGCTCTATCTAGAGGTCACTATTCAGTATTACATTACATTTGATGCTCCTCAGCTCTATCTAGAGGTCACTATTCAGTATTACATTACATTTGATGCTCCTCAGCTCTATCTAGAGGTCACTATTCAGTATTACATTACATTTGATGCTCCTCAGCTCTATCTAGAGGTCACTATTCAGTATTACATTACATTTGATGCTCCTCAGCTCTATCTAGAGGTCACTATTCAGTATTACATTACATTTGATGCTCCTCAGCTCTATCTAGAGGTCACTATTCAGTATTACATTACATTTGATGCTCCTCAGCTCTATCTAGAGGTCACTATTCAGTATTACATTACATTTGATGCTCCTCAGCTCTATCTAGAGGTCACTATTCAGTATTACATTACATTTGATGCTCCTCAGCTCTATCTAGAGGTCACTATTCAGTATTACATTACATTTGATGCTCCTCAGCTCTATCTAGAGGTCACTATTCAGTATTACATTACATTTGATGCTCCTCAGCTCTATCTAGAGGTCACTATTCAGTATTACATTACATTTGATGCTCCTCAGCTCTATCTAGAGGTCACTATTCAGTATTACATTACATTTGATGCTCCTCAGCTCTATCTAGAGGTCACTATTCAGTATTACATTACATTTGATGCTGCTCAGCTTCATCTAGTGGCCATTATTCAGTATATTATTACATTACATTTGATGCTACTCAGCTCTATCTAGAGGTCACTATTCAGTATTACATTACATTTGATGCTCCTCAGCTCTATCTAGAGGTCACTATTCAGTATTAAATTACATTACATTTATTTCTTAACGTATATAAGCCAGGGACAGCCAGGCAACTAACATTTGAAGAAGGTCAACAATTACAGCCACAGGAAGTGGATTCGGCACAGGAAGTGATGGCAAATCTCTCATAAGGTAGAAATGAAGCCAGATTTTTTCCTAGCTTCAGATAAAATAAGGGAGGGTTATAGCCCCCCGTTAACTTTTTTGCCATCTGTATCCCATTGTGTGAGATAGCCCTTCATTTCCTGTCCAATAGTAACATTGGGAAGCAAGGGAGTTCCCGTGTGGTCAGAACTAGTGTCCCCATTGGAGGATTTCCCATCTATTCCTGCTCTGGTGACAACCACAAATTGGGATTTTTTTCACTCTCAGTAATAACCGTCTCCAGGACAAATAGAGAGGGTTCAGTTACCATTCACCAGTCCCCATTCACACCATTGCGTGACCGAGAACACGCGTTGCAGTTACATAGGTGGGAATTTTTTTTCTTCTTGTGTTTGCAGCATGCTCCCATTGATCTCAATGGGTTCCTGCACGTAGGTCAAATTCGGGAAAGTAGTGCAATGGAGCTGCACAGTGGCGTAGTCCTTCCTGTGCTTGTGCGGGTTTTCCTCCCACACTCCAAAGACATGCTGGAAGGTTTTTTGGCTCTTTTTTTGGCTCTTCTCTAAAATTGGCCCTCCTATGTATGTGAGAGAGGGACCTCAGATTGTAAGCTCGGTGAGCGCAGGGACTGATGTGAATGTGCACTATGTAAAGCGCTGTGTAAATTGTTGGCGCTCTATAAATCAGTGACGTGCGGTACCTCGTGTTCCTGGTGAGGTATTCCCCAGCACGTCCCGCCGAAGCCCCGCCCCTGTTGGACCTGTTGGACTCCTGTTGGACTGCATGGACCAATGGTGCTTTGCCATTGGTCCAAGCCATCCACAGAGCCCACGCCACTAACACAGAGTAGAGGCTGTGACAGCTCTTGCCTCACCAAGTTAGGTTACACAAAGCAGTGGGGAAGCCCGCTGCTGTGTAACCTAACTACCCGTCAAAATCCAGATGCAGCGCTGCCTGTAGTTAAAGGAGAACTATGAGGTGAGTGCTTTTCACTCATCCTCATAGTTCTAGCCGACCTGTGACAATGAGACTGTCACAGGTCGGCTCAGTGCCTCTAGATAGGCAGAGCCAGCTGTCACTCACGCAGCTGGGCGGATCCAGACATAATTGTCCGCATCCGCTTCAGCTGCGGTGTCTCAGTATACCGCGAGCTGTAGCTCCCTATATACTGAGCTTAGGGTGACGGGAGGACGCTAGTTTGTGTCCTCCCGTTACCCTAAGGAGAACTATGGGGAAAAGCCCTGACCCCATAGTTCTCCTTTAACTACCTGTCAAAAGCCGGATGCAGCACTGCCTGTAATTACCAGGCAGCGCTCCGTCCATGACAGGTTACACAGCGGGGAGGATTTTCATGCTGTGTAACCTGTAACAAGCCGCACTGAATGGATAGAAAGCTGTCAGCTTCAGACTTGAAGCTGACAACTTTTTCCTCCATAATACTAGGTGAGTCTCTGCCCCTCCCGCCTCCCCTTTCTGCACGTCCCTGGTATAAATACCTGTACTAGATAATAATGAATCAAATTCGGCAACATGTGTTCCATGTTTTCTTCCCATGCGTTTAAGCGCGCATATACATGCTAAAACCACGTGTTCTCCCGGTGCGCTTGGACGCCGCAGCCGGAGCGGATCCCGACTTAGATGACGGGATCCGCCCAGCTACGTGAGTGACAGCTGGCTCTGCCTATCTAGAGGCAGAGCCAGCTGTACCCGCCCCCTCCCCTGTCCGTTCCGCCAGTCAGCGCTGGCAGATCAGAGAGGGGAATCAAGCCCCTCCCCCTGTCACGAAAGACAGGAGCCGTGACAGGATCGAGAGGTGAGCGAACCTGGTATGTGTTCGCTCACCTCCCGATCTACTGAGCCGACCTATGACAGTCTCATTGTCACAGGTCGGCTAGAACTATGAGGTGAGTGGAAATCACTCATGTCATAGTTCTCCTTTAAGGTTTCTTTCATACTCCACCTTAACGGGTTGATGAAGCCTATATGAGATTTTAGAACAGGGTAAGCAACCATGGCACTCCAGTTAGGCTCGGTTCACACCTAGGCGTATCGAATATGCGCGTTTGTCGCGCGTTTCGTGCTGTGCGTTTTTACCGCAATTCGCGGTTTAAAAAAACGCGCGTTTCCGAGGGCTGCCTGGCTGTTTTCCAATGGAAACGCGCGGCAAATATGCCCCAAAGAATCTCCTGTAATTCTTTTGGCGTAGGGCGTTTTGCAGCGCGTTCCTACGCGCTGTAAAACGCCCAGGTGGGAACCATGCCCATAGGCAATCATTGGTTTTCACATGTTGAGCGTTTTACAGAGCGTAGGAACGCGCTGTAAAACGCCCAGGTGTGAACCAGGCCATAGGGTTGCCACCTGTCCCGGATTCACCTGTGTGTGCTGCGTCTGAGTTTCAGCTGCCCTGAAGCCCGGAAACAGCACATACAGGACTCAAAACCCGGACTGTCCAGGTGAATCCGGGACAGGTGGCAACCCTAACTCCAGCTGGGAGTCATGCCTGTGGCTGTCAGAGTCCTGCATAGCCTCATGCGACTTGACTCCAGTCCACAGCAGCTGGAGTGCCGAGGGTACCTACCCCTGTTTCAGTGATGTGGTTTACATCTAATGGATATAATGCACAGCAGCACACGTATACAATGCATGTGTGGGATGTAACGCACATTATTGCATGCACTACGGTGTGAATAAGCTCTATGGCTCTATTTGGACGGTTATGTGCCATAAAACGGCTGTTACCGCAATGCACGGTAATGCTGGAAATGGTGCTTTGCGGTGCCATTGATTTTAGCGCACCGTGACTAGAAATAGTGCAAGTCTGTGGTGTGCATTGTGGTGCGGCTGCAGTCCATTATTCACACATATTTGCGCGGCCTCAATCTGATTGCTGGCCGGTGGCTACAGACAGTTCTTATTTCCGATACATCGGCAAGGTTCTTTATCTCGGAAGTCACATCTTGGCATTAACTCTGGTCCAACATACCCAGCATGTCCTCTGAAACAGGTGTCCTCAGGATGTCCCCCGTGAATTCACAAGTTGTTTTCTTGGCATCAATCCCAGATGTCCCTTCAAACACCTGCAGAGACCCGGGGCAAGAGCCCAATTACTGGCAATTAGTGAGGATTAGAGCAGACACGGCAGGAGTAAAGTCAGGACCGAATGAAAGCAGGGGATAATGTGTGTGGATTGGGGAAGGAAGGGGGGGACCTGCTCCTCTCATTCACACACCGGACCTCGAGGCTGTCGGGAGGCTTTTAAAGGTGATTGGGGGGGCTGGGGATGGCTGTGAAGGGGTTAATGCTCGGTTTAGCGGGCCTTTTGTGTGTGCGTTGGCTGACTTAACCCTTCTTCTTTATTGTTAGGCCGGCACTGACCTCACTGGAATACGAGTCCACCCAAGAGTGATATTTCATTTCTTGGTGGATGTTGGAGAGTTCCTGCTGTGCCCTTTATGAGGGACTCCCACCATCCCTGTCCTAAGTTCCCAGGTCTGCACAACTTGCAGCGGCCATTATGAGAGGCTCCCACCATCCCTACACTGAGTTCTAAGATCTATGCATGTGCTGTGCCCATTATGAGGAGCTCCCACCTCCCCTTTGCTGAGTTCCCGGGTCTGTGCATTTGCTGTGTCTATTATGTGGGGTTCCCACCATCCCCAGACCGAGCTCCTGTATCTATACACCTGCTGTGCTCATTATGAGGAGCTCCCACCATCCTTGCACTGAGCTCCTGAGTCTATATACCTGAAATGCCAATTATGAGGGGCCCCTACAACCCACAAACTAAGTTCCCAGGTCGTTACACCTGCTGTGCTCATTATGAGGAGCTCCAACCATTTCTGCAATGCGTTCCCAGCTCTGCAGCATTGCTTTGCCTATTATGAGGGGCTCCCACCATCCCTAAACTGAGTTCCCAGACCTGTACACCTGCTGTGCCCATTATGAGGGGCTCCCACCCTCTGGCACTGAGCTTCTGTGTCTATACACCTGATGTGCCCATTATGAGGGGCTCCCACCATGCCTGCACTGATTTACCGGGTCTGTGTACCCGCCATGCCTATTATGAGGAGCTGCCACCATCCCTGTGCTGAGGTCCCGGGTCTGTACACCTGCTGTACCCATTATGAGGCGCTCTCACTATACCTGTCCTGAGGTCCGGGGTCTGTACACCTGCTGTGCCCGTTATGAGGAGCTCCCACCATCCCTGTGCTGAGGTCCTGGGTCTGAAGACCTGCTGTGCCCATTATGAGGAGCTCCCACCATCCCTGTGCTGGGGTCCCTGGTCTGAAGACCTGCTGTGCCCATTATGAGGAGCTCCCATGATCCCTGTGCTGAGGTCCCGGGTCTGAACACCCAAAGGTGGGCAGGAACCCCCAGAACTCCCAGGTGAAGAGAAACTACTATGGCAGGGAGTCCTCCAGACACCTCCTAGAATTAAATCGTCACTTTTGGGTGGTCTGGCCCTTTGAACTTGGGCCAAACAAGGAACAAAAGAAAATGTCACAGCTCCGATTATATTCATTTTGTGGTAAGAGCTGCCTAATATTTCCGGCATTACAAATCAAATCTGCCAGAAAGTTGCAGTGAAGGTATCAGGAGTTTTTGGCTGTGATTTTTTTTTTGTTGTTGTTGAAATATTTGGGTTTTAGTGGTAGAACATTTCGATGTGATACGGAAGGTATTATCAGAGTGCAATTTCTGCTGTGATAACATTGAGTCCACCTAGTACTCCATGGACAAGCGTAATTTTCTCAATAACCTGTTGAAACAGCAATAAGACTGCCGGCAGTGCGGTTGAGAGACAGGTACTCTTTACTATGGCTGGGATAACAGTAGAATATATTTGGGAAATAACTGAAAAATTGATATCTACAATATTTGAGATTCGTGTGCCCGGGCTGAGCGAGGAATGTTCTGTGGTTCAGTGTGTGACTCATCCTAAGCTGCTCCTGCCCGCTCGGCTCCGAGGCTGACTCTCTAATGGGATTAGCGAGGCTGTGCAAAGGTCTCGCTGGGATTAAGCCAGGGAAGGTTTGGCGGATTGCCAAGAGAGGTTGTGCACAGGTCACCAGTGCAAGCTACCTATCATAGACAAGAGCAGGAGACTGGGACAGCTGATGTGGAACTACGAGTTCCAGCATGGACATTCATTACTCTATAGGTTTTTTGATTTGTAGATGGCTGGGTTAGGCTGAGCATAGCAGAAGCTGCAGATATAATATACCCAATAGTTCTCTCTCGTGGGGCTACATCTATGGTTACTTGTCAATAGGAGAAGTTTAACCTTTTTATGGTACATTAAGATTAATATCACACAGCCTGTGATAGCTAGTCTCCCTGTAGGCAAGTATGTGTGCAGTGATAAAATGGCAAGGACACGAATCGGGAAGGGGGCGGGGGGGCGGCAGAGTGGTAGGAACAGAGGGGATGGAACAGGGAGGAACTAGGACCAGAGAAGAGAAGACTAGGGAGGGAGTAGGGGCTAGGTAGATAGACCAATGAGGAGCTAGGGCCAGATGAAATGAAGAAAAAAGAAGACAAGGCCATAGGAAATAGGGCAGAGAGGCCTTAGGGCCAAAGAAGATGGAGCAAGGAGGCATGAGGGCCAGAGGAAATGGGGCAGGAAGAAGCTAGGACCAGTGGCGAGAGAGTTGAGAGGGGGTATGGCCGGAGAAGAGTAGCAAGGAGAAGCTTAGCCAAAGAAGATGAAGCAAGGAGAAGACAGAAACCAGAGGACATGAAAGAGAGGAGGAGAAAGGGCCAGGGAAGATGGAGCAGTGAAGAGATAGGGCCAGAGCAAATGGAACAGGGATGAGTTAGTATCTAAGGAGATGAAGAAGGGAGCAGAGAAGAAATAGGATCAGAGAAAATGGGTCAAAGAGAAGTCTGATCAAAGTAGATAGAGCAGGAGGAGTAGGGACAGAATATGAAGACGAAAGGAGCTGGGAGATAGAGCAGGGGGGAGATTGGCCCAGTGGAAATGGAGCCAAAGGAATTGAGCCAGAGGTGACAGCATAGGGACAGAGGAGATGGAGCAAAAAGGAGCTGGCCAGAGGAGATGGACCAGTGGTGATGGAGCGTGGTGGGACTAGAGACAGTGATGATGGAGCAGAGAGGTTTTAGGGACAGTGGTGATGGAGCATGGATGGGGTAGAGACAGTGATGATGGACAGTGTAGAGGAAGGAGGTAGCCAGTTTAGATAGGTATGATGGAACAGGGAAGACACTGAGCAGAGAGGAGATGACGCAGGATAGATTTGTTGTTAGTGATGATGGAACAGAAATAAAAAAGGTCCAGGGGAGATGGATCAGGGAGGAGTTTGGTCCAGTGAAGATATCTCAGAGAAATGGGAGTTAGTGGAGATGGGTTAAAGTTACTAATGTTAGAGCAAGAAGAAGTTAGACCCAAGAATGAGGAAGGAAATTGGGGCAATGAAGATGGTTTGGAGAGAATATAGAGTTAGACAAGATGGAAAAGTATTAGGTTTATGGAAATGAAAGAGGGGGTAGAAGGAGCTAGAAAAAAGGAGCTGCTAGAAGGGGAAAAACAGGGAGCAAGGGGCTCAAAGACATATAGAGGAAGCTGGAACTGGAATAGGTAGGAGGTGTGGCTAGAGAAAGAGGAGCATGGAAGAGTTATATCTTGAAGTCATTAAGCAGGAAGGATGTGTGGTTAGTGACAATGAAGGAATCTAAAGTGACACATAGAAGAGATTAGCCTACTTGAGAGAAGTAAAAAAAAAATATGGGGCAAGGCTAGTTTAGGTACTCCAGGTAAGTCACATAGTGAAGATGGAGCTTATGAGGTGGCCTGGCTAGTGCAGTGCCGGAGGTGGTGGTGCTTGTGAAGATGCAGCAGTGGGAAGGTGTGGTTTACAGGGTTGGAGGTGGAACTAGTAGAGCTGGAGCAAGAAAAAGATGTGGGTTGTGGAGAAAAGAAAAAAGGGAGCTAAGATACAACAGGTGGAATAAGAATGGGTAGAAGAACTTGACATAGACAAACAATAAAGAACTTACCTGGACTATGGCCTTGGTACCAGAGACCTCCAGAACTTGTCCGCTTCGGACTGTGCCATCTGGTAGAGTGAAGTTCACAATCTCAGCATACTGAGCATACTGCAAGACAGTAAGAAGAGAAATAGTCAGTAAGAGTAAGGATTAAGTACAAAACTCTTCCGTACATACGGAAACCCCTGCCTATGATCATAGTAAAAAGGTCAGTCCAACCAAAGCTGGTCTAAATTATTGTTAGGGGCTGGTGGACCAAATCACTCCTTGGCTTTCTATATCTCCTCAACAGCAAGAACTCCTCAACAGAGATCCTAGCAGTGCCCCCTTCCCACGCAGTGACGCAGGGGAATCTCACTCCAGTAGAAGTTTCCAAACATTTCCATAATTGAAATGTCCAACAGAGAGAGTGAAATCATTTGTAATTTTTCAGCTGGTGGGTGGGGCTAAAAATCCAAGAGTAGAACTTTAACCATCAGAGTCCCTGTTATACATAAGAACCTATTCCAGTGTTTGGTGGATCAATACTTTAATAATGGAGAATTATTCAACACAATGTGTTTTTGAGTGCTATAGCCGAAGAAAAATGTAGTACATTTGGCCACATTTTAGGTATATTCAACCGTTGCTAGCTGATCTAAAGGAGAGGAGGAGGATCTAAAGGGGCCAGGATAATATTGCAAGTTGCATGTTCTATCTCTCTATCTGTTTACACACATATACCATATAGCCAAATCTATGTGGACCTCCTCCAAATTATTGACTTTGGTGTCTCCAGTGAAAGGTCAGTGGTGTCCCTAGACTTTTTGCTGCTTGAGGTGGGCGGGCGAAGGGGGGTGGTTATGGTGGAGCATGCAGGAGCGGAGTAGAGTAGACAGCACCACCAGACAGGAAAGTGGTGCTGCCCTCGGCAGGCTCTGCACCTCTTGGTTGGGCTCTAAGCAGCCTGGTATGCTCTGGCTGGAGTCCCAACCAGCTCCTGGCAACCAGTAATGTTACTGGTTGCCAGGAGCTGGGCGGGATGCTGGCCAGAGATTCGCAAGTTGCTAAGAGTTGGGCGAGGAGATGTGTAAGGCCCTTACACATTTCGGCGCCTGGTTCTTAGCGGCCTGGGACGCTCTAGCAGGAAAGGGAAAGACAGGCACACTGCACACATTGTGCAGCTGAGCAGCCATGCTAACCTTTTGATAACAGTTTGGGGAGGACCTGTTCTCTTCCAGCAAAGCCAGTCATGGTTTGAGGAGTTTGGTGTGAAGGAACTCAAGTGGCGTGCACAGAGCTGTGACCTCCTCAACCCTACTGAACATCTGTGGAATGATTTGGAATGCTGATTGTGAGTGGGGTCTTCTTGCCCAACATTATTACCTGACCTCACAAATGGTCTTCTGGCTGGTTGGACAGAATTCCCACAGACACACTTCAAAATCGTGTGGAAAGCCTTCTCAGGAGAGTGGAGGCTGTTATAGCCACATAGCAGGGCCAACCTAATATTAATTTTCATGTTTTTAATATAGGATACCCAAAAAGTTCATGGATGAATGGCCGGGTGTCTATAAACATTTAACTATATGGCGTATATACTTTATATACTATATATATGTATTTATATAATGCCGTTGAGAGTCTGCTCAAGAGAAAATAGGATTTAGGCCCCGGCTGAGTTGAATTCTGAGACTTTTGTTACAGCCAGCAGTGCACCTGTACATACGGTGTAAGAGGATTAAAGTCCAATTTCATCGTCATTAAAGCTACAATAGCGCTACGTATTACTACAAAAGGTGGACGTATGCTGAGAATTAGTGCATTTAATATTTGTGTGTCTTAAAGGGCCAGCACACGCAAAGGCAGTTCAGTTATGGAGGCTGGTGAGCCAAATCACTCTTTGGATCTGTTTACCATTTTGGGGCTCCATTTTCAAGATCCCCCTTGTCAGAGTAATCGACTATTCAACCACTATCACTGAGTATCCCTCCTCATGGTGTGTTAGAGTCTCAATACTCCTGCAGTATTGTCATACCATAGGTGAAAACTCCAAGAAAGATGGTCCCTCATAGTGGCTGCAGGTGGGGAGGTCTTCATGCCAGGATGTCATAGAGATATAAAGGGTTAGTGGGTGAAATATCATAAATATAATATCAGTTTTAGGCGCTTTTAGGACAGCTTTTTCTAAGAAACAGTGACTGTTGACCCTTTAGGGTCCATGCACACCAGGGCTCTTTGCAATAACTGTGTATTGCACTTTATCATGTGTTATTGGGCTGCATTACTGCAGCCCAGTCATTGCAAATGGGCCCCCCATTGGAGGAAAAAATTCCCTCCGCTCCATTCTATTTTACTACAGCGCATATCATGCATTGCGGCATGCTGCCAACAGGGGCGTTCTGTACACTTATTGAAAATGAATGGCACCACATTCTAATATATTTGTGTCCTGACAGGGTCCCTTTGAAGCTGAACTCCGGGCAGATATGGCCAGGGCCGGATTTAGTCTCTCTGCTGCCCCAAGACCAGGTTCCTCAATGCGCCCCTCTGTATGCAGGCTGCATACAAGTGATCTCCGCGACATCACCAAGATCACTTGTACAAAACAAGCGGCGGCTTCCCCGCTCTACATTTACCTTTGCTTCGCCAAAGCAGGGCTAAATGTAGAAAACAATTACCCACCCAGTGCCCGGAACTGCATGTCCTGAGCATTGGGAGATAGGAATTCCACACCCCTGCTGCCCCTCTACTCCCTGCTGCCCCGAGGCAGGGCCCTTGTTGGCCTTGTGGGAAATCCGGCCCTGGATATAGCAGACACAAATGAATGCAGCTCTGTATTCATTAATACATCATTACCAAGTTCCTGAATTGACTTGGTATCAGCCTCTTTAAACCCCTGTAGAGCAGAGCCCAGACTGGGGCGGAAAGAAAGGGCACAAGGTGCCAATCAAGTGTGCTGCTGATAGGAGGAGAGAGTAGAGTGACAGAGAGCTGAGATCACTGTGCTGCTTCTCCTTTCACTGTCCAGTCACCGGCTAAGGAAGGGACAATCCTGTAGCAGATCAGGTTTCCTGCACTGCCAGACAGAGCTATAGCTAGGGTTGCCACCTGTCCAGGAGTCACACGGACAGTCCAGGTTTTGAATGCTGTGTCCGGGTTTCATGGCAGCTGAATCCCGGACACAAGATGTCAGGCAGACAGGGGCAACCAAAATTAGGATAGGGGCTACTGGCCCCCCACTGAAAATAGTCTCAACTGTGATATTTACATATGAATAGTTGGCACTATTAACATGTGAATAAACCGCCACTCATTCTCCCCAAAAAATGTTCGCATGTCGCTAGAGTGTTCAAGTTGCGCTTGAAGAAAAGGTGGCAACCCTAGCTATAGCTGTGTAAATCTCAGGACTGGATGGAAAGAAATACAAATCTATTGGCAGGTAAAACCGCTCCCATATGCCATATGTATTACAAATGCATATTTAGCTGTGTGCCTGGAGTTCGGGTTTAATGCTATACAGCTATGAGTCCGAGCACTCAGATTCAGTTGTGACGGGTCCTCTTTAACAGGTTTACAGAAGAGCAGAAGGAGGAGCTCAGCAGGTGGAATGCTGCTCGCTCGTAGTCCAAGACGTAGGCAGGATTATGGGACTTTTATTCTCCAAGCCCAGGCGCAGGGTCCCCTTAGTCCAGGTGGTTACATTTACCTTTACGCAATGTCCACCTCGGAATCTGTAATCTACTTGGACGCATACCGTTGATCCCCGACCCCCAATGCCGCCATTCTCTAACGCTCCGCTTAATTCTCCTGAAGTCCCCGTAATCTGCTCCGTGTTGTATAACTACAGCTGAATCGTAACCTTTGTTTCCCTACGGCCAGAGTCTGTTTAATAAGATTACTAATTGGTGCAGCGCCATCATGGCTGTGCTACTTAATTCCAATGATATTGTTGGTGTTTTTATTGGCAGCGCCGGCCGAGACTAAGGTTAGAACCTGGATGTGGCTGGAGACTGTCCAAGCCGGCCTGTCCCCTCCGGCCTGCCGGGCCGTATACAGGCTCTGCCTACGTCAGGGACCTATTTATAGACAATACCTGCATTATGTCTTCGCCCTGATTTCATGTTACATATTGCAGCTTACCCATCCTAAAACGTGGTGGCCTCATTAGTTATCATTTTCCAGCAGCAGAACATTTTCCGCAAGTACATAAAATACTAGTCACTTCCTGTGAATTGAACTGAAATAACAATGTTATATTTCTTCCATTATATATTAAAGAATTCATATACAGTATATATATATATATATAGTGTAATGTAAATGGGTAAGCCGCATTAGTCCAGTAGAGAAGATGTATAAAAAAACAAAACGGAGTATTGTAGTATGCAATGAGAAAGGTATCATCGCATTCTACAATACTCCGTTTTGTTTTTTTATACATCTTCTCTACTGGACTAATGCGGCTTACCCATTTACATTACACTATATATATATATATATAGTGTAATGTAAATGGGTAAGCCGCATTAGTCCAGTAGAGAAGATGTATAAAAAAACAAAACGGAGTATTGTAGTATGCAATGAGAAAGGTATCATCGCATTCTACAATACTCCGTTTTGTTTTTTTATACATCTTCTCTACTGGACTAATGCGGCTTACCCATTTACATTACACTATATATATATATATATATAGTGTAATGTAAATGGGTAAGCCGCATTAGTCCAGTAGAGAAGATGTATAAAAAAACAAAACGGAGTATTGTAGTATGCAATGAGAAAGGTATCATCGCATTCTACAATACTCCGTTTTGTTTTTTTATACATCTTCTCTACTGGACTAATGCGGCTTACCCATTTACATTACACTATAATGTAATGTATAAAAAAATGTATGTATGTATAAAAAATGTATAAAATGTATAAAAAAATATAATGTAATGTATAATGTAATGTATAAAAAAACATGTATAAAAAAACAAAACGGAGTATTGTAGTATGCAATGAGAAAGGTATCATCGCATTCTACAATACTCCGTTTTGTTTTTTTATACATCTTAGCTGAAATCAGGATAGCAGCCTAGGGTGACAACCATGGCTGCCTCCATAGATACAGTGGAGGTTTG